GGCAAGTATGTATAGTTTTATATTTAAAATACACGCGTTAAATGTATAATAGATTGATCATGGTCTATTACAGGCAGTGGTCGAGAATTAACCTGTTTACAGCCATACTTAATAAATTACAATGGATTAAATCATAACGTATATTTAATACTATGTATTGAAAACAGGTCAGTCAGTTATCCACGTTTATATTAAATATTGGTAGACACAATTTGCTAAATAATAAAAGTACTTATTTAACAAATTTATTTTATTTAACACTTTTGCAACAAAATTGTTTGTAAAATAAATATAAATATGTAATATAATTATTCAACTTTTATATACTATTATATTATAGTAAATTATACATACTGTATTTTACACATTAGACTAGACTTCATATTATATACTATTACTGTATCCTAGTATTCATTATCTCATATATCCATCCCTTGTCTCCCATTCCCCTGCCATCAGGTGTTAGACGCGGGAGAGATCGTGGAGTTTGACGAACCCTTCGCTTTACTGCAACGGAGGGGACAGTTGTACGACATGTGCAGAAAGACCGGCGAAGATATGTTCANATCGTGGAGTTTGACGAACCCTTCGCTTTACTGCAACGGAGGGGACAGTTGTACGACATGTGCAGAAAGACCGGCGAAGATATGTTCAACCATTTGATGGATTTGGCCAAAGAGTCACATCTCAAGAGGTCCACCACTAGTGAAGTGCTGGAGGAACCGGAGGATAGGGATCTGAGTGATGCGGGTGTGACTTTGAGAGCGACAATAACTAAATTATAAATGTGTTGTCAATCTTATTATAAATAAAGACCCTGATAAAATTAAATTTTATATCCAAACTTTGACATTATTAAAAATACATACTTATGAATAAATTAGTAAATACTCTCTCTCTCTCTCTCCCTCCCTCCCTCCCTGAAGTGTGGCTATAATAAGTATAGTATTTAATAGTGTTTCATTTGATAGAGAAATATATAATTAACTATTATTTTATGAATTATAATAATTACACATTCATTTCTAAGAAATCCAAGGGAATTACATTAAAATTATAATCCAAAAAGATATATTTATGATTTTCATATGATCTTACAGTTTATTTACAATAATGACCCTAAAGTTAACAAATTAATTAATTCTACGTCTATTCCCATTAGTATAATAATAGCACAGAAAAAGTTATATTAAAATACTTTGAATACAATATTACAGTTGCAATCAGTATTTATTAATAATTCATTGGATTGTTTGTAAATGAAATAAAAATACTTCTATAATGAAAATCTTTGTAAACATCCGTATACAAATTTAAAAATCTAATATTAATGTTAAATTTATACGACAATGAATGGATGCACCAATTACAGTATTAATATTAGTAAGTAGAAAAATTATATTAAAAATACATTTAGATATATTACAGTTGAAATCAGACTTTAAGTATAAAGTAATTTAATTGCTTTAATATAAAATAAATGTATACTAAAAATATTAACTTTACCCTCGATAACCTAGATATATAATTAAATAATACCAAACTATAAAAGTTATGTTGAAAATATTTATCGTCCAGAATATATTAGTCATAATATAATTGAACAAGATAATAAATAGAATAAATATAAAACACCATATCACCCTGGCCATAATCTCTATCACAAAATAATTTCCAATAAATAATTCAAAAATAATGAATTCAATGACAGTCTCTGACCACTAATCCAAAGCCAACCCATTATTATCACCAAAACCTACAGATCCGAGAAACTGAAGCCCTTCTGGCTGTCCCTCTACACGCCCGCCAAATGCCAGCCCACACACCATCTGCAACAGTGGCGCACAGGGGGCGGGCGTTCCCACGACAGGCTGGTCCTCGAGTTCAGGGGCACGAAGTGGTCGTTCATTACGCCATCGCACGGCTCGCTCCGGGCGATTGGGACAGTCCTGTGGGAGATCATGCAGGACCTGGATGCCAGGTTTCTCGACGAACATATCATCACCAAACGGGAGGAACTGGATGACGGTATGACTTGTTTTTTGTTATATTAAGCAAAAAGTTGAATGCCAATAAATAAAATATATATAAATACTAAAATATATCTAAATAATGATTTACATTTGCTTGATCCGTTTAATAGCCTTATTATTTAATTATAAAATTAAATGATTGTTTACTTTTATAGTACAGTTTATGTATCATATATTGCTTTTCACATTTGCAATTTATGGGTATATTTATTATTTCTACTTAGATTTTTAAATTATCCTTATTATTCATATCTACATCAAGAAGTTAGCATGATAATTCTATAGATAACGCTAAGTACTAAGTAATATAACGCTTACTATAATTAGTATAAGGGATAAATAATCGGAGCCTGTTTTCCTATCAATGTTTGAAACATTTGGTTTCAAATCTGGTTTCAAATCTGAATCGATGTCGGAATTCAAATCATATACCCTGACGTAATTTACTTTAAATACCGGGTCGAGCCAATTTGCATCCAGATCATCCAGGGCATCGCAGAAAATGCCATCATTAAGACTACTATAGTTAAAAATTTGAAGTCTAATAACTAATCTAAATTCTTCATGAAGGAGTTCTTGGTTATACTGTTTGTAATAATCATTGAATGTTTCGGCGGGATATTCCTGGGTAATTTGACCATCAATTAGAAACTTGAGACTCGATTTACTCCACTCGAGTCCATACACTTGAAATTCATTTTTCCCCAATACCTGACGTCCATTATAATGATATTTGCCATTTATAACATAACTTACTCCGTGGTGACTATAACCAGTCTGCATATCACCCATAATATTAATAAAGCCATTGTTACTGATTAGAAGTATGTGCGACATGAGTGGACAGCCACGGGGTAATAAAGCTTTTATCTCAAACTTTCCGTATCTGAATTGGTATTTAGATATGATCTGAGCGGTTGTGTAGTTCTTGGAGTACAGGTGCCGTCGGACAGCAATAAGAGACAGATTTCCATTTTTTATTTGGATGTTTTCTGAACTATTCGAGAAACAACCAAGATCATTTGGCTCTAGAATATAGCATAATATATAAACCTTATTATAATGCACTTAATTTACTTTTATTTTTAATATAAATATATAATACTGACCCTTGCAACTATCTTCTCCATACTCTATAAGCCACTTATTTGTATCCAGTGAAGTACTATTGAATTCATCTCTAAATATGAGATGTCCCTGACACAGGGTATAAGAAATAAAAAATATTTGACATAAAATAATAAACATTTTAAACCACTTTGTTGCTCTCGTTCATACAATCACTATAACTATAATTCTACGAAATTATTAATTATTTTTAAGGTTAAAAATGTGTGAATTATTTTTTCATCCAGGTATTTTTGTGCTTTTATGGTAAACTTATTAACGTAAATCATAAAAAGGGTAGTGTCTGTTTTAGAATTGATATTATCTATTGAATTATAACATAAATACTGTATAGTTATCAGTTTATATTTGGTGTGGTGTAATTGACAGGATAAGTAACTATACCATAATGTGTTGTGAGGATCGGACTGTCCTTCATTACTGAATACACACAATATATGCGCCATTCAGGCGCCTATTGAATGATAAAAAGTATTAAAACAAGTAATTCATTCATTAGCATACGTTTGTTATAATCTAATTTTGCACTCATATTAATACAAACGTATGCATAATATGCCAATCATTTCAATATTTTGTCTTAAAATTTGCTGAAATAATTTTTGTATTAAAATGTCATTATTGACCATGATTTATACTGGTTTATTTATGGTGTTACTATTTGTGAGATTATGCAAACCTGAATGGAGTCTAAACTGGAATGAAGAATTTGATGGTGATGAGCTGGATGATAATAACTGGCTAATTATAAGTAGTAAAAGGAGAGGTATGAATGCATTTAATGCTAATAAAACCTATAAATAACTTTAAACCCTTTGATATTGCTTTAAATGTAGATCTATTTAAGTATCAAATCAGTTACAATACGGATGATCCTAAAAATATACGCCTAGTGTCGGGTGCGTTGGCCATCACTGCCATCCATGAGCGGCACCAGAACCGCAACTTCACGTCCGCCACGATTGTGAGCAATAAGTTCTTCAGTTATGGCAAAATCGACACCAGAATCGCTATACCCGGAGGACAGGCCCTAAAGTCGGCCATATTTTTGTTACCATATGATGATATTCTACTGGACACCCCTAACATAGAGTGCATTTCGACCGTTAATTTTGAGAATCTAATATACTCGAGAGTATTTGACCATGGTAACTACTCAACAATGGAGTATTTACCCAGGGCTAAACTCGACAAGTTCAACACATTCACAATAGACTATCAGCGTTCTAAAATTAAGTTTTCATTTAACGGTTATAATTATTATGTTAAAAACGGTACATTTAAGCCATTCTATCACATAGGCATTGGTCTTATTGTGGACGAGACTCTGAGTGGGGGTCACCGGGAGACCATAGACATGAAGGCTAGGCAGTGGAGGTGCCCCACACTTATTGTCGATTATATCAGATTTTATAAACTTAAGAGCTATAATTATGCTGATATTTATAATAATATTAATAAATATAATATGTCCAGGTATGAGAATGTGTCGGCTGAATATGTCTGTGAATTTGTGAAAGATTATTTAAATATAAGTTACCCTGATATGGATTTAATGGTATCAAATGATAAAATGTTTGCATTTGATTACTATTTTCATTTATTAATTTTAATGTCAATTGTTATTATAGTACAGATTATTGTATAAATATTTGTTATACTGTATATCATGGAGAGAATTACACCTTATCCCAGCATGAAAATGGGTCGTTCACTCAGTATATAGCTAATAATAAATATGAAACATTTTAAACATGAATATTATTTATGGCTTGGGAACACTTTTTAGTGATTGTTTTACATTAACATCGGATATACTTCTCAACTTGATCAAATCAATAGCCACTCATTATATGACTTAACTAGGTTACTCCTCCATCCACCATAGATTTGTGAGCGACCCATTTTTATGCTGGAATAAAGTGTAATTCCCTCACTAAGCTGTATATAAAAAGAGTGTCAAAAGTAATGTCATAATAAATGTCTCAAATTGTGAGAAATTGAATGACAAGAATCTGAAAGTAAATTCTGTTCATTCAAGTCATTCCTCAAATGTCTATGAATTTGATAATAGATATGAAGAGATTATTTGTGAAAGATATATAGAAAACGAATTGTATTATTTGAGCCCTAATTACGGCATAATTTAAAATGTAGAGAAAACTTGAAATTACAATAAAATATTCATTTACTTAATTAATGTGTTATTGATTATGAGTTGTATTAACAAAAAACATAGCATTTACGGAAATCACTAATTAGTAAAACATGATACACTATACACACACTTTTATAATTAAATTATTTGTCATTAAAACAATAGATAATTAGCAAAATTTCATATATAAGTGTAGAAATGGTTTTTCGTTTTGTTATTAATTTTGTTGTATTTTTTATATCAAATAAATTTTATTCTGCAAAAATAAATAATTTCGAAATTTAAATTAAATATAATAAATAAAATTAAAACAACAGTTTCGGCTAAAAATATACGCTTGGAAATCAATATTTGTTGATTAGTTTAAGATAGTTGTGACTGGGTTTGCGATAAACAAGTTCAATCCATAGTTGCCTTACATTTGACATATAATATAACGTTTTTATTTATTACAAATTAAATGATTGTTTACTTTTATAATACAGCTTAGTGAGGGAATTACACTTTATTCCAGCATAAAAATGGGTCGTTCACTCAGTATATAGCTAATAATAAATATGAAACATTTTAAACATGAATATTATTTATGGCTTGGGAACACTTTTTAGTGATTGTTTTACATTAACATCGGATATACTTCTCAAC